CTCCACACACACTCCATGAAGGTAACTCCACACACACTCCATGAAGGTAACTCCACACACACTCCATGAATTTAACTCCACACATACTCCATGAAGGTAACTCCACACACACTCCATGAAGGTAACTCCACACACACTCCATGAAGGTAACTTCACACACACTCCATGAAGGTAACTCCACACACACTCCATGAAGGTAACTTCACACACACTCCATGAAGGTAACTCCACACACACTCCATGAAGGTAACTTCACACACACTCCATGAATTTAACTCCACACATACTCCATGAAGGTAATTCCACACACACTCCATGAAAGTAACCCCACACATACTCCATGACGGTAACTCCACACACACTTCAATAAAGTTACTCCACACCCCCTGAAGGACTCTGATACTCCCTGAAAGACTCCCACACTCTATGAAGGACTCTCACACTCCATGAAGGACTTTCACACTCCATGAAGGACTCTCACACTCCATGAAGGACTCTCACACTCCATGAAGGACTCTCACACTCCCTGAAGGGCTCTCACACTCACTGAAGGGCTCCAACACTCCCTAAGGGACTCCCACACTAACTGAAGGGCACCAATTCTCCCTGAAGAGCCTTTCCCTTCACTCAGGGCCCCTTCCCCTCGCACATCAGGCCCATCACGGCTTTTACATCCCAAAATGGAAGCACAATGCCTTACTATATTTAGAAGCGTCCATCCTGCCATGATGCGGGAAGAGAAAGAGGAGGAGGAGGAGGAGGAGGAGGAGGAGGAGAGAGAGGAGAGAGAGAGAGAGAGAGAGAGAGAGAGAGAGAGAGAGAGAGAGAGAGAGAGAGAGAGAGAGAGAGAGAGAGAGAGAGAGAGAGAGAGAGAGAGAGAGAGAGAGAGTCTCTACCGTGGTGGTAGAGATTCTGGAGCAAGTAGACTGGCGCTTATATAGGCGTCAGTGGATAGGGACGTGTAGCACTCGAGGGCATAGTCATTGGTAGGCGGGATTCCCCAGTGGAAGTAGGTCCTACCCATAGGGATGGGTTAGTTGTAGTAGCCTACATAAACGCCAGTATCCCTGCCTGTGCTCCAGAATCTCTACAACCACGGTGCTCTCAACACCAACTCCAAGGCTGAGGAACTGATTACCTCATCTTTTGTATATAGTTCTACTGTCTTCTAATTATGTCCTAGAATCTGTATTGATAAAGCCACTGGATGGCGAAACGTCTACAATAAAGATAACCAGATGTTACACATGTGTCTTAACTTTCATCTTGTCGGTATTCTATACCTTTCTTGCACAACTCATTCCCACCCAACTCACCACTTTATGTTAACTAATTATTCCCCTCCCCCCCATCCACCTAATATTCCTTAACAATGTATTTCTCAATATAATCTCAATTCTGATTTGTAGAAGGTAGGAAAAATATACATTATTTTTGGAACTTCCTGTGATATGCCGTTCTGTGAAGATTTTTGTAAATAATATATATATATATATATATATATATATATAATATATATATATATATATATTATATATATATATATATAAAGTACTCGCTATTATCGCTAAGGAATATTTCCCCTTGTACCGAGGGAAACAGAGAATATTGGATATTATCGTTGGTTAGATATTATGAACTTTTATCACGGTAGAGAAGAATATTCGGTATTCTTGTTTATGAATAACGGTTTGCGTTATTATTATAATGGAAAATAAATATTATTTGCTATATCGGAAAATAATGTTTCAGATTAATATTACCCAAAAAAATGGTATTCACCATCACCGATATTATTATGATCCAGTATCTTAAATATTTATAACGAGAAAATAAATAGAAATGAAGCAAGTTTGGTTTCACGTGGTCTTTGACGCAGTCTCGTTGTTTTGATTGTTTCACGTGGTCTTTGACGCAGTCTCGTTGTTTTGATTGTTTCACGTGGTCTTTGACGCAGTCTCGTTGTTTTGATTGTTTCACGTGGTCTTTGATGCAGTCTCGTTGTTTTGATTGTTTCACGTGGTCTTTGACGCAGTCTCGTTGTTTTGATTGTTTCACGTGGTCTTTGACGCATTCTCGTTGTTTTGATTTTTTCACGTGGTCTTTGACGCAACCTCGTTGTTTTAATTGCCTCTCGGCTTTCCTTTGTATTCTCACATTGTTGGTCCTTCATTATCTGCTCATTTCCTCGTTTACTGTCTTCTTTCCTGCTCTTTATTTCTTCTTCTCTCCTCGTACGTCTCCCCTTGTTTTCTGTGCATTCCTGGAAAGGCAACTGAGCGTGAATAATCCCACACTAGCAGTCTTCCAGTCTTCCAGGCTTATAGTCTTCTAGTTGTATAGTCTCCTAGACTTCCAGTCTTCCAGTCTTCCTGTCTATCACTATTCCAGTCATTTAGTCTCCCAGTCTTCAGGTTGTCAAACCTTCCAGTTTTTCAGTCATCCAGTCTTCCAGGGATATACTGTGGTCCCTTGGGGGGGGGGGCTGGTGGACGCATCCAGGCTGCTGGGTTGGCCACAAAACTGTAGCAAGGCCTCTCTTGTGATGTAATTGGTTCAGAACACCGACAAGTTGAAGTTGATGCCAAGGCAATGGCTTCTTCAGTCTCTGTATTGAACTGAAGAGGCCACTGAGTGGCGAATATTTCCTCAATAAATATTCCCAAATGTTGTTCTAGGCCTCTCTTGGTGATTAAGACACATGTGCAACAGTTGAGTATCTTTATCGTTGAAACGTTTCTCCTACACAGTAAGCTTCTTCAGTCAAATACAAAGGCAACAGGTGTAGTAATGAAATGAAGACGATGTAATCAGTCCATCAACCTTGGAAAAATAGCATTTGAGGTGGTAAGTACCTCAGCCTGGAGAAGAGTTCAACTCCATGGTCTGGAACGATATGAAGCTGAAACATGAGAACGTAGCCGAAGAGCACCGCAGTCGACAACGGTGCTCTTCGGATAGTATATAAGCGCCAGACTCCTTGTCTCTACTCCAGAACCTCCACGACTACGGTGCTCTTTGCACCAACTCCAAGACTGAGGGACTGATTACCTCATCTTCTGTATATAGTTCTACTGTCTTCACATTATGTCCTGGAATTTGTATTGATAAAGTCACTGGATGGCGAAACGTCTACGATAAAGATACCCACATGTTGCACATGTGTCTTAATTTCATCTTGTCGGTATTGTATACCATTCTTGTACAACCTTAAATACTGTTGAAGGTAAGGAGGAAGATCTCTAAGACATTGCAGAGGACGGGATTCACTTGTTGATCTCGTTGACTTCATTGTGTCTAACATACCAACATTTGGAACTTGAATAGTGTAGACAATACGGACCGTGCTAGTAGGCTACCATTTTGCCGTATATACGCTGGTGTGAATTAGGGCAGTATGGCCTTGCAATACGCAAGGCCTGAGGGTTAAGACGTGTGCCAGTAGCAGAGATGGGAACTGTTACGAGAAAGTCACTCGAGTGATGTGTACTCACTGTTAAAAGACGTGCTCTCTAACTAGTATAGCTTGCACCTGCTAGCAGAGCTGCAGCAACCTTTTCCATGATGGGGTTGTCCCAGCTGGATTGCTTATGGACTCTTTTTTCACTGCTCTCGTCGTCTGTACTGATAGGATGTCTCACATGCTGGTGCCACTAGTGTAGCTTGGCTTATCCACTCCTACCCTATTGTGTATATGTTCTGGTAGAATTTCTTTCAACAGCTCGTTGGATCCATGGGAGGAGGATCAGTCAACCTAATCTGACTGGAAATGTAGCTTGCTTCCACCGTGACTCGTCCAGGGAAAGAGATGGGACTTTTTGTAGCATGGACTCTAAGATGAAGTCGTACTCTCCCAGTTTAGTGTTAACAAACGATGGAGAACCTCATAAAAAGTAAGTTAGCTTAGGTGATGAGGGGCACCTGGTGAGGAGACCGAAGGTAGCATGAGCATCAGCGCCACTGATCCTGCTTTCCATCCCTTTGAGGCCAGAGATTTGTTTTCCTAAATCTCACCGATATCATTAGACCCAAGTGGCGCACCCAGGCGAGTGCAGTCAGTGGGATGGACGATACTGACTCCTTGCAATGCTATTGTGACGCGTTCGCTAGTATTTGTTGAATGACATCAGTTCACTTATATTTATATATATACATATATATATATATATATATATATATATATATATATATATATATATATATATGTGTGTGTGTGTGTGTGTGTGTGTGTGTGTGTGTGTGTGTGTGTGTGTGTGTGTGTGTGTGTATATATATATATATGTATACCAATGTGTCCCATCACTCCTCTCACACACACTGCCTAATCTTCGTTCTCATTTTCCACCTCAGCATTCTTCTCTCATCTTCCTGCCTCATTTTCCACCTCAACCTCCCTCCTTCATCTTACACAGGGATGGATCTCAGGAAACTCATTCCCTTTGATAGAGTTCACTCCATGCATGTAGAGATAGTTTTTCTCTTTCTTACACACACACACTAATAAAAAAATTATATATATATATATATATATATATATAATATATATATATATATATATATATATATATATATATATATATATATATATATGTATATATCTGCGTGTAACCGGTATTTTCTTTTTTAGGTAACGTGCTTGTCTCGCGATTACATAGTATCGATCCTCCACCCTTCATTTACGTGGAATGACCCGTTATTCATGACGCAACGAGGCTGCGTCAAAGGCCACATGAAGCAATTAAAACAACAAGGTTGCGTCAAAGACCACTTGGAATAAAATGGTGAATAAAAACAAACACACACACACACACACACACACACACACACACACACACACACACACACACACACACATACACACACACACACACACACATATGCGCCTAGTAGCTCCCAGAGCAGAGGCGGGGCCAGGAGCTACGATTCGGCCCCTGCAACCACAATTAAGTGAACTGGGTGAGTACACAATACACAGCAAATTCATATACACACAAACTCACCTTTTAGACCTCCTCCGTCAGAGGCCACAACCTGGATGTTGTACTCTGGCGTTGTCTCCCGGTCTAGGCAGCAGAGAGAGGTCCTCACCAGACCTGTTTCCGGGTGAACGGCGAAGATCGCCTCCCCGGTACGTTCGTCTATGACGTTCTTCTCGATGGAGTAAGTAAGTCTGGCGTTCGTGCCTTCGCTGGCGTCGTCAGCGTCCCAGGCTGACACCACAGCCACGGACAGGTCTTAGAGAAGGGAGAGAGCGTCAGCCAGGTCTTAAAAATTATTACTTACAAGCAACAACGGTAAAAACAATGATGTTGTTGCACTATTGAGTTTAACAGACTAAAAGCGGTTGCACAAGAGGCTCCGCGTAGAGGTTTATCAAGTCGTTACTTGATAAAGCTCTACGCAAAGCGATACGTTATCCAGCTTCAAGCTTCTTTCAGCTAGTTTAGTTTGTGATGTTTATCAACTGGAGAGAGTTTTGTCTGAGGGGGAGGTTAGACTCAGTTTTTGTAGCGCATTACTAACTCATGCCGCACTCTGCACTATTCCTCTCGCCTGAGTTGAGGTAGAGGGGACTTGGGCTGTGCAGTACGTGGATACCTTTCTCATATCTCGCAAAAAAACCCGAGGTACATGCCGGTAGATGAATGTGGATTTCTGATGGATGAATGGTCACGTTTGATGGATGGATGGTCACTCTTGTTGGATGATTGGTCACTTTTGATGGAATACTATTAATTTTTAATGGATATGGGCGTTTGATGTATGACTATCGACTTTTAATGGACGGATGTAGGCTCATGGAGTTGGATGAACGTGGGTGAAAATGTGGATACATATCTCAAATATATATATATATATATATATATATATATATATATATATATATATATATAATATATATATATATATATATATATATATATATATATATATATAATTTGAGTGTATAAAAAACAAGAGGTGTATATGAATACACACACACACACACAGGGGCCAGGAGCTAAGAGTCGACCCCTGCAACCACAAATAGGTGAGTACACACACACACACACAGAGGCACCCTACCAAACTGCTTAAATACGACCCCCATATTCATGTCACCAGTGTAGGACTCATGGTGAGAAATCAGAGAGGTGTTGCGGTGATGAGTGTTGAGTGTCAGAGAGAGGTTGTTGGGGGAGGGGGGCTACGAGGGTCAAAGACGGGGGAAAAGTGGGGTGGTCAGGGGTAATATCGACTTTTTTTTCTTCTTTTGTGTCGCGTGAGCTGCGTTGGTTCGTCCATTGTTTACGTTTTAGCTCTGAGTATTGACAACGAGAACGAGGGTAGCGAGAGCTGGAGTCAACCCTGAGGGAAGAAGACTAGAACAGTGCCGCCAGCCTCGCCAGTGCCAGCCAGCCTCGTCAGTGCCAGCCAGCCTCGTCAGTGCCAGCCAGCCTCGTTAGTGCCAGCTTCGTCAGTGGTGGGAATAGCAGTAACAATAAAAAGAGCAATTACAGATGCAAGGTGAACCACAACAGGAGAACACGGCAATGAGAGTTCGGCGATGAGAGCTGTTGACAGCAGGACATGACGATGACAGCAGGACATGATGACAGCAGGACATGACGATGACAGCAGGACATGATGACAGCAGGACATGACGATGCCAGCAGGACATGACGATGACAGCAGGACATGACGATGACTGCAGGACATGACGATGACAGCAGGACATGACGATGACAGCAGGACATGACGATGACAGCAGGACATGACGATGACAGCAGGACATGACGATGACAGCAGGACATGACGATGACAGCAGGACATGACGATGACAGCAGGACATGACGATGACAGCAGGACATGACGATGACAGCAGCACGTGAGGGATGACAACAGGACATGAAAGGAGCCGCATCGTTAGCAGCAATCCAAACAGCAATGACATGAGCATCAGAAGACAGCCAAAAATAGCAAGAATACGGAATGGTCTTATTAAACACTGGCTCGTCTGAACGCACACACACACACACACACACACACACACACACACACACACACACACACACACACACACACACACACACACACACACACACACACACACACACACACACACACATAAACATGCGACTTTCAGCTCAGTGGTAAGCACAACAGGCCCACACCAGAGAGATCCTAGGTTCGATTCTCGTGCAGCTTGAGAAATACATGCAAATCCCTAGCATTAAATGGGCACCTAGGTGTTAGTCTACTAGTATAGATCAGATATTTGCATTATTAAACCCCAATATTACTAGAGGCTTCGTGTCCACGACACTGCATGCGTTCTGACCGAACAACGAACGTATCAATGCGTTTAATGTTCTTGATATATGTTATAACTGGTCAAATTTGGTTAGTTAATCAAAGTTAAACTTAATTTAAACTGTGTATGTAGACAAATTGCAGTACGATATACAGTAAACTCCTTTATGAAGCTCTTATATACAATGAATTCTTTTTAGTAAATGAAGTTGAAAAAGGCATATTTTAAACTGACCAACGTGTGCAAAGGCCTCCAGAAAACGTGCTGTTTAATCTAATGAGCCTTACTGTAGAGCAGGTAAACCATGTTGACGTCAAGAACACCAGTGCAGTATACACAAGCAGACAGACGGACAGATTTCTAGATACACAGACTTTAATGAGTGTAATAATGAACGACGCAGACGTGGTCAATAATCGCCAAGTGACATTTCAGTGAAAGGTCTCAAATTATAGTGGAGTGTTCTGAAGAGCGTTAATTATATTACTCTGAAGTCCAAGGTAAACACTGGGAGATGATGATGATGGGAGGGAAGTTGTGTGTGTGTGTGTGTGTGTTGTGTGTGTGTGTGTGTGTGTGTGTGGTGTGTTGTGTGTGTGTGTGTGTGTGTGTGTGTGTGTGTGTGTGTGTGTGTGTGTGTGGTTGTGTGTGGTGTGTGTGTGTGTGTGTGTGTGTGTGTGGTGTGTGTGTGTGTGTGTGTGTGTGTGTGTGTGTGTGTGTGTGTGTGTGTGTGTGTGTGTGTGTGTGTGTGTGTGTGTGTGTGTGTGAGGTGTGTGTGTGTGTGTGTGTGTGTGTGTGGTGTGTGTGTGTGTGTGTGTGTGTGTGTGTGAGGTGTGTGTGTGTGTGTGTGTGTGTGTGTGTGTGTGTGTGTGTGTGTGTGTGTGTGTGAGCGTGTGTGTGTGTGTGTGTGTGTGTGTGTGTGTGTGTGTGTGTGTGTGTGTGTGTGTGTGTGTGTGTGTGTGTGTGTGGTGTGTGTGTGATGTGGTGTGTGTGTGGTGTGTGTGTGTGTGTGGTGTGCGTGTGTGTGTGTGTGTGTGTGGTGCGTGGTGTGTGTGCGTGTGTGTGTGTGTGTGTGTGCGTGTGTGTGTGTGTGTGTGTGGTGTGTTGTGTGTGGTGTGTGTGTGTGTGTTGTGTGTGTGTGTGTGTGTGTTGTGTGTGTGTGTGTGTGTGGGTGTGTGTGTGGTGTTGCAATCTCTAAAAAAACTGACGCATTAATTACAGTTTTTCCCCTTAGCTAATATGGACTTTTATTATTATTATAATCAAAACTAAGAACTAAACCCACTTACCTAATTTGGAAAATTTAGTCATCTTTAATTACACCTACCACGGAAAATCTCCAAAACAGTCTACTGGTCTGAACTTCAGGGCCACAAGACTGACATTTCCCTGAAAACCCTTAGTCAATGTTTCTTTCTTTTTTGGGCCATAGAAACCGTATCATGAAAAAAAAATCATATTTACAGTTGAGATCTTCAGTGCTAAATACTTTTACAATGTTAGGTTAGATTTAACACAGACCTTAGCGTGGAGATTCGATCTCATGGTAAGCCAGTCTTAAAAGTGGCTTGCTATGGGACAGCGCACTTGTTCGCTAGTTTAAGGATAACTTGTTATGCTTTCGAATCCTGCCTTCGGCGAATTGCTCACAAACTCGTTATTACGATGTCTCGAGTCAGTGTTTCCCAGTGCTGAAGTCCAGCTCCTGGGTCCAAGTGATTAGCCACCTTGCTATTGAACACTCACAGTTTCTGACAGCGTGGGATGACAGCATTTTCGGTCTATAGTCGTCTTGTGACTGCTTTTCTGCAACCTCTGAAGAGAAGGTCAATGTCAGTGGTCCTTTAAGGGCCGTTGGACGATGTCTTCATCCAGAAATTAATCCACAGACTAAAAGACAGTGTCAGTGCATCGGCAGTGAGGCGGTGCTTCAGCAGTGAGCCAGAGTTTCAGTGCCTCAGTGGATCAACACGAGAACATCACATCTCTCATGCGAACTTACACGTACACACAGGAATACACACGTGCGAAGGTCCGCACACATGGCTACAGGACCTCCCGGAATATACACTCCGTCAGTGATTTCTGACGTCCTCTTAGGGAGCAAGGACGGTGATTAGGAGCAATACAATGGAAAGCAAGGATCACCTCCAGCAACACCACTACTTTCACCAACATTACCACTAGCACCGCCTGCAGCAGCACCACCACCACCACCACCACCTACAGCACCACCACCGCCACTACCACCACCACCACCACAGTGTCCACACGATCACACCCAGGAGAGAACAGGCCATCGCAATAAACACAAGGAATAAACAGAGACGTAAAAAGCAAGAGATATCTCTATAGATTCGATATTACAGAGCTTAAAAAATGCTGGAAGAAAGAGAAGAGAAAGAGAGAGAGAGAGAGAGAGAGAGAGAGAGAGAGAGAGAGAGAGAGAGAGAGAGAGAGAGAGAGAGAGAGAGAGAGAGAGAGGAGGAGGAGGAGGAGAAGGAGGAGGAGGAGGAGCCCATCTGATAAGAGAACAGTGTAATACGAAGAAATGAGACCCGCAAACCAAGAGAAATATTCAGAATGCTGGAGGGAAAAGAACAGGAAAATGGAAAATATAACAATGGAAGGGCTCCAGTCTGGAAATGAGTCAAGACATTCTCATGATATAGATTTGTTGGGTTATCCTGTATTACTAATAATCCTGGTTAATAATCCGGTCTAAATATTCTACATGTACGACGTCTACACTGCCTCTCCCATACTGTAGACGGCCCAGATGAAAGTTCAGTAGAAAATACACACTATTATAAACACAGCCCCGAAGGGCAGTGTGTGTGTGTGTGTGTGAGTGTGTGTGTGTGTGTGTGTGTGTGTGTGTGTGTGTGTGTGTGTGTGTGTGTGTGTTGTGTGTGTGTATGTGTGTACTCACCTATTTGT